TTGATTGTACTGAGATTCATAAAAAAAATGTTTCTCTTTTCCTCAATACAATTTCTTCCATTAGCAACAGCAGATTGTCTTCTCTAGGCATCTTCAAGCACAAACTTTAAAAATTCCTGCATTTTCTATCGTGCAACTACCTTTTTTATATCAGGGATTGTCCAGTGTCAATATCTCACACTCATTTGAGACTTATCACCTCTTTTAGAAAAAATGTTTTAGTGCCGTCTTTCACCTTGAAGAAGAGAAACATTATTTCCAATACTGCCCAAGTGTTGCTGCTCTGTTTGAAAGGTTGTTGGCCAGTATGCTGCACAATAATATTACTTGGAAGTAGAGGCCATTGTGCCTCAGATGAGAAAAATATTGATTGGCTTTTAAATGGTATTTCTAATGCTGATTTTCACACTAATGTTACATGTAGGTTGGTCCATTATTTGCAAGGTGTGATATTTGTGACTTCCAATTTAGGTTTTCATCCAAAATTACACCTAGAAAATTTGTTTCCTTTACTTCAATAATATTTTGATTATAGATCTATACTTATTTGAATATTACAAATTGAACGTTTTTGTCTTGGTTAATTTAAAGACCATAAATTTAGTCTTTTCAAGATTTAGAGGAAGGTTGTTTGCTTTAAACCAGATTGACTGTTTGTCCATCTCCAAGTTTAACATATCTGAGAGATAGTTACAGATCTTTATGTAACATGAATACATTGGTATCGTCGGTGAACAATATCAGATTTAATAGATTAGAAGCATTGTTGATGTCATTGATCTACAGTACAAAAAAATAGCAAAAAGACAGCAAAAGTGGAAAACAGAACAAACAGAGCAAAAATGTTGAATAAACGGTGCATAATTTTAAAGCAAGATTTGACAGTACTGCCAAAAAAAAGTGTGACTATTCCTATAAAGAAAGCTGCTGTGCGAGATATGGTTGCTCCATTACTGTGGAGATTCTGAACGAAACAGACAGCTACCTTGACTTATTTTAAAATGAAAGCTACAGACTGAGCAGTACTTTCCTAACATAATGTCTACTAAGCTGGACAAACTGAAAAAGTTTGACTACTTAGCAAAACTTTTCTGTGGTGCTGTTAATTATTAAGATGTACAAGGTGGCTCAAACTATTGAGATCCTGGACAAAACAGCTCGTGCTCACTATTTACATGAAAGCTAGTACTAATTAAGCAGTTCTTTAATTCAGTACTGTTTATTACGCTGAACAAGGTGGTTTTTAATCAGTTTCTGAAAGAAACAGTTAGGTAAGTGTGACAATTCACATAAAAGTAATAACTACCAAGCAGGCGCTTTATTCTACATGTACTATTTGAATAAACAGGATTTTTACTTTGCCAGTGTTAGCAATCAATTTACCTTTGATATACAATTTGCATGCGGTGAGTTTGTTTTAGACTGATCCATGCCGTCAATGATAACTGGCAGTTACTTTCTTTGGATATAATTCTGCTTTAAAAGGCAGTTACCATGGTATGCTTTTCTCTTAGCCCTACAGAATACAAAGGAGATAAAAAGATAGGATCAAGTACTTACAACTTTTACAGTGTGACCGGGAAAACCATGAACACTTGAAACATCTCAGGAATGTTTATTGTGTTCTGATCAATAACAGCAAAGATCATGACACGTGAACTGGCCACAAAACCACAAACTAATTAATGTTTTTGCTTGCTGTTTAGTTTTTTCAAGCTTGATTGGCTTTTCTCTTGCTAGACAATAACATTCCAGAAATATTTCCGGCATTCATGGTTTTCCCAGTTTGACTGTAAAACCTTACTTCAAAACTCGATGATGTAATACAACTTGCTCCTGCTGCTCATTTTCTTGCTTTCACTTTGGGGTGAAGGCAACCATTTACCCTTCTACAAATGTTATTACCACTGAAATGAAACCTAATTCTCCAGGCACTTGTATGTGCTGAAGTTTACTTCACTGCCGAAAATTCTGAGTAAAACTCGCAACCGATCAAGTGCTATCAAAATTAAGTTTCTCTCACATGGTACTACTGTACCTTGTATTATTTTCTGAAATGAAACTGATATCTAAGAATAAAACCATCAAGTGTGACCACTTTTAATGCAAGCTACTGTGCATTTCTTTTAGCTCTTACTTTTTAGTCTTTGATTGAAACTTGTTTCTTGCATCTGTAATTTTCTTTGCAACGAAAGCTTTGAGCAATTTGTTTCTTATTAGGGTTAGATGTACCATTGAACTACATGACTTTAATTTCAAAGCTGTAGATAAGGCTTAATTGTGAGTGAGTTTTGAAATAAACTTTTTTAGATATACACAAATCTTTCATAAGTAGGTTGAGTATGATTGTCAAGGTGAATGTAGTCCTGAGTAGGAGTGTCGTTGTTGACAGTGACTGACATTCCGACAACCTGTGTGGAAGTCATCGTCAGAGTCAAAGTGATTTGTAACAGGTCAGTTAAAAGTATTAAACTATGGCAGTGATTGGTCAACTAAGTCACGATGTTGTTGGTCACCTGTCAGTTAAGCCGTGATTTTATTAGCTATGAAGACTTGTAATGTTGTCTGTGCAAATATAAAATCGAGAACAAGCTATCAAGAATTATGGCGAGGATCAAGTCTCGTGAGAAAGAAAACAAAAGATTTACCCGAGACTGATTTCTTGATAATTTTACATAGACATACCATAACAACACGGCATGGTTTATGTGCGTAAGGGACTGTATGCTCGACACAAGACCAATTCAAGTTATATAGTCCATGGGCTGGACCCCCAAATTTTGGATTTCCTTCCACTGTTATGGACAAAGGCTATTATAGCTTTTTAGAAATCTTGTTCCCTCTACTTTATTTTTATATAATATGCTAGTCACGTCATCGGTGTAGCTTTCTTGCGTAAATCACGTGATAAAATGACGTCACTGATCAGTGTAATGGAATAGTTCCTTTCCTGACTGAATATGGCAAAACAAGATGTTTTACTTCTTAAATTGTGAGCGAGCATTGATTTAAATACCATAAAAAGATGCAGAAGGATGTTTTAAGTTCAAGACATTTTAAAAAATGATGTTTTTTTCGGGTTTCTTTGGCAACAAAGTCCTATTTCCTTAAAAAGAAAGTTTTCTTCATTGTCCATTTAATTTTTACAGGCTACTCCTATTTTACGCTGACTAGTATACGAAAATCTAAACTTAAGTTTCTTTTTAAGCGTTTGGAAAAATTAAAATTAAATGGTGTCATCTTAAAAACAACTTTTGTGAAAGCTACTTAGTTAAATTTCTTTGTTTACATTAACACAAATACACAATGTGTTAATCAAAAAGCTTTCAGCTATTAGTATAACTTATGTACTGATATAAAACTTTGAAATCAGACGAAATCTCCAAAAACTCTGATGATCTGGTGAGGGAATCCTAACAAACGGGAATGTCTGGCGGCTAACAAGGTCAATTCAGTTGACCTTTAGCTTTGATGTTTAATCATCATCCTCATTGTCAGTCTCTGTGATAGCCTCTGTTGGGTTCTCACACCAATTGTCGCAGTCTTGTAATCTACACAAATCCGTACACTGTAATCCGTTTGAGAGACAAGTACACTTTGGCAGCTCATAATGCCTCTTACACTGGCATGACAACAACTTCAACACAGCCATGGGTGCTGGCTCTCCACTCATCCAGTTAACTATCAGTTTACCTTCCTCAAGACTTCAACAATGGCTAACTGGGAAAGGTATATGCGGGCAGCTCTGGAGGCTTTGACGCCATATTGCAGCCTGGTAATTAGCCCGGTCGCATCTCGCATAGTTGACATAATCATAAGCAAAGCACCAACGGTATGAGTTTTCTGATGGAGGAAAGGTGAAGACCCCAGTCACCTTCCCTTAAGGCTCATATCAATGCTAGGAGAATGTCAACCAAATTAAGATACGACACCCAAAACTTCAACAACTTACCATTATCAGTGCGAAGGAATAACATGTATCTTTCAAACAGCTCCGCAACTTCAGAAAGAGAACTTTCGCAGAATTTCTGCTGGAACTCGGCTTTGCAAATGCTGTTGTGCAACCTTTGAAGACTCAATAACATGTCGTCTACTGAGGACCTCCTCTCATTTTGCCTCTCCGCTATCCAGGTCTGGAATCCTGACCACAACTGTCTCATCAGAGCCTCATACAAGCTTGTGTTGGCAAATGGCATGGTTGTATCTCTGTCCTTCCAGCACACCCGATACTGAACCTTCCGCAATCACCTGGGACTCTAGAGTAGAGCGCTTGATCAAAAGCAACTACTATAGACCTGAGCTTCAGGCTTTCTTTGATCTCTAATGACTGACAAAGCACTTCAAAGACAGTAGACATGTTCACTGCTGGTGCATCTATGGTTGAGAAGTACCCTATGTTATCCTTTGATACTCGTCAACTTCATTCTGCACTTTGATATTGAATCCAGTCCTCCCTCTAATATTTTGATTCTCAGTGGCATGAAGATCGATGCACCAGAAGCCATAAGAGATTTTTCTTCCTAGCATTTGTCTCAATTTCCGAGAAGCTCACTTGCACATAAGCTCTGGATGGCATTCCCCAGCAGTCTCCTGCATCGTAAACCGGAAGTTCCTTCTTCAAAACAACATCAGCACTTAATATGTCTCTTTGATTTTTCTACATTGGAGGTCCCCTCTACAGCAGCGAAATAAGGGCCGAAATGTTGAACCTGTACAGCAATTCCGTTAAAATGATGGGATGTTCCCTCGCCTGACAGTGTCTCCTCCACATGATTGATGTTATCCCATGCTAAAGATGTAGGAATATATGGTTTAATGTTGTCTGGAGTGGGATCATATTTTCTGGCATTGCAGCCACCTTCTCAAGACAGAGTGTGGTATTAAGTTCTTCAAGTAAGACACCCCATGTCTGAATGGATTAATGGTTTGAATTAGCTCCACATTATTCGTCATGACTTGACTGCATAGGGTAGTTCAAGCATGTGCTTTGGGGTCTTGACTCATCCATTGGTCACTCCAAAAACAAGGTCTTGTCCAAAAGAGTTAGCAAGACACTGCACCCTTTGTGAACAAAACTTATGGGGCTCTGTATTTCCGGTCAGCGATGTACAAAGAAATGCTCTTACACTGTCAGAGATCTGAACAGCATCTACAGTAAGCTCCAATTGCTTTGGTGGCCATGACATGGTATCTTTGCTAGAAAGAATGGACTTGATCTCCTCTCCTGGTTTACTCAGGGATTCAGGATTGCAGCTTTTGCTCTCGGCAGTTTTACAAAACCTATCAAGATCTTTCTTCATGGTAAATATACCATGGCATTTTCTATGGTAATATATCACTGGAATATTATCATCCTCCAATTTATGGACAAGATCTAAACTTGGTTGGTATTGTTGTATCTGTGCAGCCCGAAGACGCGTCTTCCTTGACTGTGCATCATCAAGAGCTGTAAGGTCTCCAGTCTCTTCCATGTAGTTAATGAGGCATTTTCGTGTCGAATCTAAACAAATACGCTTCTTTGGTGGCCCATTTGACGATGTGATCTCCAAACTGTAAATCTTTCCTAACAAAATGCAAGCAATAGTGAATGTGTTTCTTGTATCAGGTCAAAAAAACCAGCTGTGCAATTTGGAACTCCAAGCTGAAGAGGGAGGCAATCACAGGCTGCATTTTTCTGTGACATTTTTTGGATGTATGGAAAAATATTGTTGGAAAGGTATGTTACATTTTTGAACACCAATTAATAATAAATAATTCCATCACAGAGGACAAAAGCAAATCATATAGGCTACGGACAATCTAATGCATGGTTATTGAGCACTCGAACGCTATCGAATACAATCTCTAGAATCTCTTGAAGTATTTACTTCTACTTCGAAATAATATTTCTTATATTTGCATTATTTAAGTAAAGTTTGTTTGTTTAGGCTTATTGAGGCCTTTTTTAAAATAATAAATGCCAGAAAAACTAAAGAATCAGGTAAAAAAAAAAACAAGATAATTAAAAAACTTGACATGTGCCCCACCATATTGGTTACCCATAATGCATAACAAAAAATGGAGATAGTTTTATTTCCATAACGATGTGAAAAAAGTAGGTTTTCAGAAAATGAATGCTACAGAAATATTAATTATCCCATCTTCTGTCTGTTTTCTCTTATTTACTATTGTAAATCTCAAAATCAATTCGCGTCTTAGAAAATATGTTTTTAGCCTCATTTTCATGTTTCCAAGTCAAAGGGTAATTTTTGAGATTTTGATTACAAAAATAGGCCTTAGAGCTATGCAATGGGGATGGCTATCATAATTTTTTTTCAATACTTTAATACATTCTTTGAAATGACACTACTCATAATTTGTCCTTAAAAGTGGTAAGAAATTTAATTTTGGTCCAACCCATGGACTAATAAAGCCTATGTTTCTTCAAGGACATCCGTGTCAAGCTTCATAAGTATGGTTTCAAATGCCTGCTCTAAATGCAAACAAACAGTCCATACTCATGTACGAGCAAGAAGATACATTGTAAATAACAGCATGTTTATTTTGTAACAGCACATGACTGCAACTACCATGACGAAAAAATAATTATTGTGCCATGTTTATTTCAAAAGCAGATTGTATTGCATGAGACTATAATTATATTGTTTCCAAAGCTCTTGGATGTTTCTGAAGTTTTATGAAACTTTACATGCATACTCAAATCGAAACTTTTATGTACGCAATCACGTTGAAGGGTGAAATATCAAACTGAAATGCAATCGTGTATCGCAAAACTGAGCAATTCAGGTCAAAAGGTCAAAATACAAGTAAAGTTTCCAGTAAAAAAAAAAACCCTGACTGTAGACACCGATGACCGGACATGTATTCAACTGCGATAACGCTGATGGACATTCTCAAACAGGCAATCGCAAAAAATTGGCTAGTAGAATTCAAAAGACAAGCTAAAGAACAAAAACAACGAGAAGCACCTCGAGACTTTGTTTACACACCGTCGCGTATTAAACATTCATTTACACAATGTTCCTGTTATTTTGGATGTGACAGATAAAAGGACATGGATTGGTTTTCAAGTTCAGCCAGTGAACTGTTGACTTCTGCTATTTCAATTATGCAAAATGTCGTTTGAACAATTCTATTAAGGTTTTGACGCCAAGTATCACTCGAGCTGTGCAAATGAATGCAAATTTCCCGAAGAGTTGTCAACTGCTACTGTATCTTGAATTTACTTTATAGAGTAGAAAGTTTTTTTCTGATGTGAGAGAAGTGAGAAGGTTGCTCAAAAAAGTTTAAAAGTGTGTTTGTTTGTCTTACGTTCTACTACAGATAATTGTGAAGCCAAGCAATGATTACTGCACTTTGAAATTTACAGCAATTTTGGGAACAGAGATCAAAACATTAGGTCAAAAAACAGGATCAGATTTTTAAAAAATATACCTTGTTACTACCATTATTAACTGTGTAGAATCAAAACCCTGTTTCAGTCTTCACTGAGTCTTGCAGACATTAAGCCTTTTGTTGCGGCTGTTGCGACAACAATAAACCAAGGACAATATGCTAGCTCATACATACTAATCAGTTCTAATGCAAAACCGTTTTTGAAGCACCGTGCATAAACAAGTTTCTTGCTAACTAGTTTGAAGCCTGTTAAGATCTGGTAACGTGGATGCCTATCATTGAGCTGTACTATAATAATTACCACATGCCTTTCGTTTTCTGATCAAGCTATTAAAGTATACTTGCTGAATATCAAAGGAGCATAAAAATTATGGTTACTTGTGAAAATTTGAGCCCATAAACCGAATAGTTTCAGAGAAATTATCTTTGAAAAACTCGAAATTTTACAATGTATGTACCAAGTGCTCATAAATGTTTTTGCCACCCAGCAATTTGAAGTTTTCGAAGGCTGCTTTTTCCTGTTACTGCTTGACAAGAGCTCAAAATTTTTATGAAAGTTGCTCAAATCAACCAACTTTTCAACTTTTGGGGAATGTAACAGTGACATCAGCAAAGAATGCCCTATACACATGTATTATGTTTGGATTGAACCAGTGATCAGAGCAGTCATTTAAATAGGATCCTTATTGCTGGTTTGCACATGACGTCCAGAACAAAAGCATTTCTCTCCTGTGGGCACTAAACACTATTTGCGCATAAATTTTTTGAGAAAAAACTCTATTGTATTGACCCCCAACACGGCCGCCTTGAAATATGGTTGCATACCAAAGAATGAATGATGTTATTACCTGATCTGAAGGAGGTCAGGTATCATTTTACTGCTGCCTTATATCCAATGCAAACTTGCCACATTTCCCATCAAATCCGATGAAATAACAAACAAAAGGATCCAGTCAAATAAAAATCACATAAAAGGATAACTAGAAATAGGGATCTTAAGTTTTAAATACATTCAGACCCCTCTCCTTTCAAGATACAGTGTACCTCATGAATATAATTTCATACGAAGGAGTAGTCTCTGAAGAAATCTTTAAGTTTGTCCATTCAGGGTTAACCCAATTAACGGCGGTCTCGTAGTTTATGTTAACAAATAAGGACAGAAAAATATTTTACAACATAACAAGTAGCCTATTAGCGCGCTAACTTGCCAGTAAGGCTGTTATTTTTAAACATTTTCACCAAAAAATTGACCAACAGCTGTTAGACTGACCTGTTGCAAACGAGATATCTACTACCAGCGTTGACATCGAACGTCTGCTGACTGCAATAAAGAATAAAGAAACCAAGAAAACATGTTACAGTCGTGGTGCTAAGAATCACATAAGGACCACGAATTATCTCATAAAACACACATAGGGATCTTATTAAAATACAATTTAAACTGTCTTTATACACACCACTGTCACATGAACAAGTAACTAGTACCTTTCCAGTTAATAAACCAGTAAATACTTCCACTTCCACAAGCTAGAAGACTAGACACTTAAATAAAGTTGTTGATTGATTGATGTAGTGTCCATGTTTCCAAATGAAGCCTGCAATTTGTGGCAGGCTTCGGCTGAAGGCTTCAAAATGAGGAAGGGATTGGGGAGAGTCTCCCTATTCCCTTTCGCGTTTTTCTCCATTTGTGTGCAACCATACTTTCCCGTAGTTCTTATTCTTTACGCCCTACACGTATATAGCTCAAACTTTACTATCTGCGGATAAAACCTTTAAGAGTGTCTCTCGAAATGTCAGAAACGGCTACTGGCTTATATTTATTATTCCACTGTATACGTGGTTCGTATCTACCCGAATCCGAAGCATGAGGTGATCCACGTGACGGTCTGCGCATCAGTTTTTTAAAAAACCCTTTAACTCTTTACTTTTCCGTGATTAAACGTGCTGTATAGTTCGATTTCATTTGTTAGTCCGGTGGTGCCAGTTTCACTAATGCAACACAATAGATTTGGTAATACCGACATAAAGAGGTATTAAGAGTGCCGCCTATTACGTCTGCATGAAACTAGTTTAATGTAACTGTAGTGTAACAGTAGTGCGTTTATTGTGAGGAAGGCTACTTTCGTTTTCTGTTATGCTGTTAGGAAATTGTGACGTAAACGTGGTCAATCAGGGCCCCTTTATTAAAGAGAAAACGTGTTGAATATGAGTTATTAGCTAATTATTACCGTAAGAGAAAACTATTCTGACGTATGAGAAATATCTACGGTCTGTTGTCTGTTTTCAATGCACCCATAAACCAACATACTATTCAATGTACGACCATAATCCAGCAAAGGTACCAAACTTTATACAATCACTTCCTGTATAACACAGACATGTCTTCCATTTCGGACACTTCTATACGCAAATTCATCAGTTAACAGTTTCCTCTGTAATACAGACACCCTGCAATACGGACACTTCTATTTATTACAATTCTCTTGGTTTTGCTGTCCGTATTCAGATTTAGCGAAGGTATTATTGGAGAGCTTAAGCAAAGACGTTTTTGAGCGACGCACGTCAACCGGAAATGGACGTTTTGCAATCTTGGGCAGTGGTTTTGCACAAATTTTCAAAAAAATTAGTCTCTATTAGAGTCAAGACACTACCCAGGACACTAACAATACAAATTTGGTGGCGTCAAGAAGGCACAGCAAAAGGGAAAAGGCATCACTTCGGGTTGACGTGCATCGCTTAAAGACACCTTTGCTTAAGCTCCCTATTTTATATATAGTGCATGGTTTAGTACTGATAACTGAAACCTTCTCAAGTATTCAGTAAGTACCAATTGTATTAGAGAGGTCTTGTCGTTATTTTTCCGAATACAAGTTGCAATATTGCAGGCAGTATGACGACAGGCTGTAAATTTATCGTGCAACCTTATTTACCGAGCAGCCACCAATCAGACGAAAAGCAACGTTTTCTTGATCAGACAAAGATAGAAAATTTCATCACCTTGTTACATGCAATAATGACCATGGTAACGTCGCAATGAATTTGATGCGTGCAATTTGTTGATGGTAGCCACACAATAGAAAAGCGACAAATTTGTTACGTGCAATGCTGTGGAACGCAGACAGATGATGAATTTGTTCCATGCAAGGCTGTCATGATAGTCACGCAGTGACTAATTTGTGCGCAGTTTTGAAGACGGTAGACAAACGAGGACTTATTTCGCATGATGCTATATCCGTAATAGATAGTGCACACACGACGAGTGAAGTGCGTGCAACGTTACAGAAGAAAACATACGATGAATTAGTCACGCGCAACGTAACATCTAGTAGACTCACAGTTGGTTACTGTTAATACTAATGTTATTAATGGCACGAAAGTTAGTCTGACGCAAAATTAGCGATGGGCCATACACGATACACTATCTAGCTACAAACCATGTCCCCGATGGTAGATAAACTATGAGTTAGTTATACGTAATGCCCCGGTAATGCTACGGAATATTTAGAGGGTCTCAATGGGGTGGTGGCATTTACGGTTATCGGCTAAAATTTTGGCTCTTTTACGGCTATCGGCTATTTTTTTTCAGTTACGGTTAACAAAAAAGTTAAAAATTAACTTCTTTTGTTTCAAAAAGTTAAATATTAATTAACCTATATTTTTTGTATCTTTAAAGCAAAATAAAGGTCTTAAGATCATCTCGGGATATGAAATAAGCTATTCTTTTGAAAAATTTTAACATTTGATAGATCATACTTTTTATAAAGTATTCCACTTCTAATATTATTTTGCACATAAAAATGTCAACAGTCAATTTAAAAATAATCTTTGTGAAAAAGCAAAGGACACACGCGAACGCCTAACTCAAGGCCGGGGCGCGACATTCATTACAACAGAAATGGCCGTTTTCACACTAAAGACGGATTATTCGTGTGAGACGGGTTATCGATTTGATGATTCGCGTCAGATAGGTGATACGTCTTAATTTAAAAAGGAATAGTTTTAATTTTGCATGAACAATCCGCCTGACTTTATCCTTCAACCTCGACGGACAGTTTGAAGACGGGATTATCCGTTCCAGATAGCTTGTGTACAGCCGCCCCTTCCCCTCAGAAAAAAAAATCGGAGAGGGGGTGTCTGTCGAGAAAGGGGGCGACTGCACACAGGCTAGTCTCAGACGGATAATCCGTTTCTAGCTCTAGTGTGAAAACGGCCAATAACAAAATTCCCATGTCCAGTGTTTTTAATGGTAGCGAAGGACTGTACGGAACCACTGTCAGCCGTTTTGCCTTGTCCGTAGACCTCATTATTTCGCGCGGCTAATGCGTTTCGGGTCACGTGGTCCGAGCGAGTTCGCCACCGAAATCCCTTGACCGAAATTGCGTGGGAAGACGCCGTACAGGGACTAGGCATGGCAATGTCTACCGTAGCGTCATCGGCAACTTGTTTTACAAACAGTGAGTTCTCTTCGTGTTGTTTCACTAGTGTTTCGAGGGCACGACCTCCGAAAATCGCAAATATTAATCCCCAGCAAGAAGCCACTCAGATTTCGCTATGGAAAAAAAACTAGTTCCCCGAGAGAGCGGCGGAAATGGAAATGGGTCTTGGTCTTCACTTAAAAGGCGCTTTACCTAACGGGCGTACGGAGCCACACTAGCCGCGAAATAAAAAACGCAACCATAAGTGAGTTTAGTACCTTCCTTAAAAGTAGCAAATCTAGGGAACAATTTCTTTTACGGTTAAGTCTTTTTTACCCTATTTACGGCTAACGGTTAAAATTTTTCAACTTTTACGGCTATCGACTAAATTTTTGGCCGTTTTACGCCTATCGGTTAACCCCATTGAGACCCTCTATTTACGGCCCACGGTGATGCAGATGCTAACTATGCTGAAGACGATGGCAACTGAAACAATGATTGGTAACGCGCAATTCTACAGATGGTAGCCACATAAAGAGTAAAGAGGTTGGTTTTTTTAAGAAACAGAAATGTTGCGTCAGAGGAATCGCGTGAAAATCAAAAGGTTCTGGTCTTATCTATTGAGTTGAAAACTGAAATTCAATTTACCACCGATGAAAAGATTGAAAGGCAATCGTTTAGAACGCTAGCCTTTATTCAAAGCGAATGGGTTTAATAGATGTAGAGTGTTAGTTACCCTCAATCATATTTCAGTGGCAGGTTCAGATCTTCAAGAAAGAGAGGAGCCCGCTTTTCCAGACCCTAACTTACGTGGAAGACCTGACCTAGAAAACCATTTTTCCTCGTCCTTACGGGACTCAGTTTGGCTTAAAACTAAGGCGGGGGACAGGGTTTTCTTTGATCCGCTACTGCAGGTGGTAAATACAAGACGAATTATTTGCGCACAAGGCTACATAGAGATAGTAGACATCCGGTGACTTACAGTTGCGCATAATGTTGCATATCGTCAACACAAGGTGAATCAGTTACTGGCATCGTTTGAAAGGGTAGTCACACGATAAATGATATGCTTATGCACAACATTAAAGATGGTAAAAACACGATGACTAATTGTGCGCAACACTGCGGCTGAAAACTCCCCAAACAATGAATTATTTTTCTGCAGTGATCGTGTGGAGAAGACAAGAGCAAATAGTTGCGCGCAATGACGGTTGCAGGTGATAAGCACAAGCAAAGTTACCGATGGTAGTATCACGATAGATTCGTTACAAGTAATGTTGGTGATGCTACAAATAACAGCAACACTGTGTAGTTGGGCGCAATGTTGGAGATGGCAAACAAACGATCAATTAGTTGTGCGCAGTAGTACAGATGGTAGCCATACGAGGAATTTGTTACGAGCAAACATTTTGCAGATAAGAGACCTTCGCCAGACTTGGTGCAAGCGATTAAGCTCACTCTAGGGACACAGTGAATTAGTTACTAACGATGCAGAATTCCTTTGGGCGCAAATATTGCACATGGTAGATATAGGATGAATTTATTGCGGGGATTTTTGCGCATAACTATCGCTAATACGCATCCCCCGGGATACGCATGGACACTTAACGGACCAGCACCAAGTGTCCATCTAACAGTGATGTCCGTCTTCAACCTCGTCCCCAGGGCGCTTTTCCCTGGCTTTGAAGGTGGGGGCCCACCTTCAGAGCCAGGGAAAAGCGCACTGGGGACGAGGTTGGTCCGTCTTATAGTCAAATAAAGGGAGTGAAGAAAGGCAGGGACCAACTCTAAGAGTCCGTTTTTACAGAGGAACCCGTCTTAAAGAGGTGTCCGTTAAGAGAGAGTTCGAGAGAGTCGACTGTAGTAGAGACGATGTACAATCTCGTGTCTACAAATGTTACACATGGTAACATGATGCACGCACGATGCACACATGATGCACGCATGATGCACACATGATGCAGTTTAAAGCGTAATGCTATAAATCAGGTGATAGGAAAAGACGTTAATTACGGATAAAAACGTTCCAAGTAAAGCTACATTTGGTTATCATACGATTTATTAGTTGCACCGCAACAGTACAAACGTTAGTCAAACGATTAGTAACGCACAATGTTACAGACGGTAAATACATGACGAAATTAAATGAGCGCAGTGTTGCAGATGGCAGACAAGCCATAATCTTTTGCGCGCGTTGGTAGGCACAAGATAAGTCTATCACACGCAGGTTTTGCACAAAAATATGGTAGACTTGCGATGACTTTCTTCAGTTGGTATCCACATTATGAATTGGGTGCGCGTAGTATTGAAGAAGTAGCTGCAACATTGCGCCAAAATACTTCACGCGTTAACACAATTGTCTATGATCAATTATATGCCTATTTAGAAGATCATGACATCATCTGTAAATTCCAACAGGGTTTTCGCGCTATTCATTCAACTGTGACGGCCCTTCTTGAGGCCACGGATACTTCGGCATATAATATTGACCGTTGCAAAATCAATGCTGTCGTATTCCAAGATTTAAAAAAGGCTTTCGACACGGTGGACAACGAGATCCTTGTATTAAAACTAAACCTCTAAGGTATTAATGGTATTGCCCATCAATGGTTTCAGTCATATTTAGAGGACCGCACACAAATGTGTTCCATCAACGGTCTTCTCTCTAGCAGTTGCTCCTTCATTTGTGGTGTCACTCAGGGTTCTATTTTAGGTCCATTATTACTTCTATTATATATCAACTATCTTCCCAACTGCCTGGCAAATTGCGAGCCTTGGATGTACGCTGATGACACCCATCCTTACATACGCGAGTAACAATATTCACTATATTTAAACAAGTTTAAACGAAGACTTAGAAAATGTTCACAATAGGACAATTGCACGATGACGATATTTGACTACAACTACCAGAATTCATTTCGGTTTCGCTTTGTTATTTAAATTTGTCAATCCCGCTGAGGATTAAAGAACAATAGCCTTAATTTGCACAAGAAAACAACAAACTCAAGGATTCTGGTAGTTGTAGTAAAATGACGTCATCGTGCAATTGTCCTATTGAGCTTTGTTATTTAAATTTGTCAATCCCGCTGAGGATTAAAGAACAATAGCCTTAATTTGCACAAGAAAACAACAAACTCAAGGATTCTGGTAGTTGTAGTAAAATGACGTCATCGTGCAATTGTCCTATTGGCTAAGAGCAAACACACTCACTCTAAATATAACTAAGACTGAGTTCATTTTAATTTGATCTAGGCAGAGGTTAAGTACTGTAACAGTTTCCCCAACACTTGAAAGTAATGATTCTCGAGTTACCCAAGTCGCTACTGCTAAATCTCTTGGAGTGACTATCGATGATAATCTCGATTGGAGTAGTTATATAGAGAAGACAATAATTAAAGTCTTTTCTGGCATCGGGACCATAAAGCAAGTAAGGCACCTTGTCCCCCAAGCGACTTTACAACTAATATACCAAGCTCTTATACAACTGACCTCACTTCAATGATTGCTGAATACTAGTTTGGGGAAACTGTGGGATAACCTTAAGGAACAAACTTAAAAAACTAGAAAATAGAGGAGCCCTTATTTTGACATTTTCAGACTATGATGAAGACGCTGGTTACTTGTTTGAACTCCTAGGATGGAAAAAATCTAGCGCGCCAGCATGAAATTGAAAAAGTCACGATGGTTTATAGGTGTTAACACTGGTTGGCTCCAGAATTCGTGTTCTAGGTTTGCAATACGAGAAACAGCATATAACCTTAGGGTCTCTGAGAGTAAACTTTGCATCTCATTACCAAGGACAAATTATTATAAAAATACCTTTAGCTATAGTGCCGCTATTCTATGGAACAAACTCCCATGTAAGGTGAGGCAAGCAAAGTCCTTTAAGAAATTCAAACGTCTTTTTAAACAAGTACTCTAGGACACGGCATTCGTGGAAGCAGCTTTTTATTCGTATTTTTATATTGTAGATAGTTTATGTTTCCTCATTTGAATAGTAAAGTAGACTATTTTTAGCAGATGAATTGACCTTGGATAAATAAAGATTATCTATCTATGTACCGCTAATTCTCAACTTGCCTTGCGGAATATTTCAAGAGTTTTTCAAGCTCAGTGGACAAATTTAGATTTATTTTAACTACAAGTCTATAAACCCTCTTAAATATAGGTAATACGCGGTCTTGCTTACCTCTAGTTTTCGGGATTAACTTTCCTTCGGCTTGAATTGGTTCACGTGCTTGGAGGCAACGGTCTTTCCATGGCGAACTTTCATGTCCTGCGCTCTGTCCTTCATGACTGTCCAACACTACTTGATCACTGATTACTTCTTGAAGCTTAGAAGGCTTACAATGAAGGTTTCTTGATTCAAAACAACAGTAGAACGTGAATTTTATAAACTTCGTTCGCCATACTTTTTCTTTGCAGCTAACTTGAGAGAAAAAATATGAATAATTGAATTTTAATGAGGCCCTTCATTTACATTTCAATTTAAGTTTTATGAACTTACACTATACTGATCCTAGAATTTTAGCCTGTATTAGAGCTCTTTTATAAACGTTTTAAAAAGAAAAAAAACAACAGCAACAAAGATGACGATCCCCCCAAAAAATTACGTATAAGTTATCTATTTAGTTTCAAGGGTCTTATTTTCAATAGAGGTTCTGTGAATTAAATTGTGCCTAATCTTAACAGCCGGGGGCTGGTGAATTTGTCCACGGGCATTTTATCTTACTGGTCTTGTAATCACGAGGTTTGGTTTAACGATCAGAAAAAGATATCGAAGGGGTTTAAATTTCAAAATTCACGCTTTTCCTCCACTTCCGGTAATCAACTTCCGGGTTCTCGTCTTTTGATCTGGGAGAGGTCTGGTATCTAATGTAATCAACATAGTTTTCGAGGGCTGGGAAAATATCTGTGTTTATGTTTTTGACATCTACAGTATTAGAGATCATTATAGTTAAGAATTTTACACAACAACTCACGAAATCGGCATAAGGGATATGGCTTTCCTTTCACATTTATTTCGCCTGACGAGTCCGTGCAGGCTCAATTTTACGGTGGTGAAAAGAGCGCGGATTTCTACCCAGGCGTGGAAACTTAGGTAAGCGACGTTGACAGCTTTTATTAATATTTACACGTCCTAATTCCCTAAAAATACGACGTTTCTTGTGTATGGTATTTGTTCCGATCATTTACCAGCTACCACTCAATCAAAATGACTTATTATGTTTTCTTATTTTTCGTACTTTCGCCATGTTTTGCCCATGATCGTGACAGCTGTGATTTGAAAAATGAGAACAGTTGCGGAGAAATCTCCAAAGGTTCCCGAGCCAAGTACTACACGTCACCTCCTCGATCTAATATTATCAATATCTCCTCCACTTTGACTCTGAATGATGGTGTGAAAATCCCCATATTTGGTCTCGGCGTTTACCAAGCTGGATCGGGTGAAGAAACTCGGAATGCTGTTCATTGGGCTTTGGAAAACCACTATCTGCAAATCGACACAGCGGCAAGGTATAACAACGAGGCGAGCGTCGGGGAAGCTCTCCGGGAGAGTGGAATTCCAAGAGGAGATATATTTGTTGTTACTAAGCTTTATGATGATGATCATGGCTATGAAGAGACATTCAAAGCCTTTAATAAGAGTTTAGGAAATCTTGGATTGGAATATGTGGACTTGTATTTGATGCACTCTCCTGTTCCTAATAAAGTTGCGCCATCTTGGAATGCCATGGTCAAACTACAACATCAAGGACTGATTAGGTTTGTTAGACATTGTGAACCTTTGATGTAACCTTAAAGCTCTGTGTTGAATGTCGGGGATCATTATATAATGTTTTTGGTCAATTCCAAAACTGCCCATGCCCACTCTCCAACACCCCCCTCGCACCCCTCTGGGCAAACCGCAGACATTTGACCTTTTTGAAAAATTTTGGTCAAATTAACCGATATAAGAATAATAATAATTTATTCATTTATAGTGCGCTTTTTAACATGCTAGGTGATCAAAAGCGCATATGCTGGCAGTTTAGATGGTCAAAAGCCCCACCAGCTGGTGCTTTAAAAAGCGTCATATTCCCCACCCACCAGCAACTGTTCAAAAATTTTCCTATGCATCAAACCATTTATTGAAATATAAATATCCTACTAAACACAACTGATAGATAAGATATATGACTATGTACATGATCTTAAGATTGAGAGGCCCCCTTTATTATTATGTTCTAGGATTCTTAAGTCCATGGCTTCATACATAAAGGGTTCTTATGTCCACAGATTCTTACATTCTGGGGTTCTTACCGTAGTTATTCGGTTATAAGGCGCACGGTTTTTTCAAGAAAAATCTGTGTTTGGGTGGCAAGTTAGTGCTAAAATTGGGGTGCGTCTTATAGCCAAGTATTTTCACGTAACAAAATCTTAAGATCACAATTTGAGAAGAACTTACAGTTTAAAAAACACAAGAAAAAGACACTTGTTGTTGGTCATTGACTTTTATAGATTTGGTGGTTCTGAAAAGAACCGGGGTGGCTCTGAAAAGAGCCGTTGTGGTGGTTGTTATTGTTGTTAGTCTAGTCTCGGCTAGTCTTCCTGCTCGCTGTCCGTGTCGAACTTGTTCTCTAACTCGTCGTCTGCTTCATCAGCTCCAGCTCCTCCTTCTTCCCACACATTTAAGAGTTCGTTCTTATGTCCAGGGGTTCTTACATCTATGGGGGTTCTTACAATCAGGGGTTCTTACGTTTAGGGTCTCTTGATCTAGGGGTTCTTATGTTCAGGCGTTCCAGTATCCAGGGGTTCCTAGGTCCAAGGATTCAAGGGTTCATGTTACATACAGGGGTCTTACATCCAAGTGTCTAACATCCATGGGTCTTACATTTAGGGTTCTTAGATCCAGAGGTCTAACATCTAGGGGTTGTTACATCCAGGGGTCTTGAACATTAATTTTGTGTTTATGGTGTTAAAAGTCTTAGCCCAAAATATTGAACATTTTTTTCTTAGTACATTTTATTAGATCATACACACTAAATTGTCTAGCTCTAAAAGTTGTATCAGAGAGAACTTACACAGACACATATTTAGAACACCATGATTATCGTGCTAGGTTACAGCATTATGTGCTACCAGAACTGTGATAATACTGCTTACCTGGCGGAGGTGCCTTAATATTATTGTTGTCTGTGAGCAGATGTGTCGTACATGTTCTTTTCATCAAATTGAATGTAATCAAAGTGGGCCCTTTTACCATTCCTGTAACAATGGTCTGATATATTGTGCTGAATTCTTCAATACTAGGCGCTAAAAAATCTCTACTTTGCCATAGATTTACTGCAAAACAGAACTAAAATTCTTCATTCCACTAATCATTTCTCATAATTAAAGGATATGTTATTTCCACCAAAAACCGACATGATATATTCACCCTATCTCAGACAAAACTGCTCTATGTACCCTTATAGCTTAAATTGGCTATGTTCCCCTTAAGTACTGACAATGAAAATGTCAAGTGAAGTAATTAATATGCACTAATACTTTATTGTAAATTTTTATAAAAAGCCCCTCCCTTATTAGACTGCAAAACAGTCGGTTTTTTTCTCAAAGTCAGTAAAGAAATCGGTAAAGCATTGTGTCAAGTCTTACGCGCGCGAAGTGTGTGAGGCATGAGAAAAAAATTATGCAGCTTACCCCTTAGACAGCGTAAATTGTGAATTTTCAGGCGACCTTTTTAAACCATAGTCATGGTTTAAAAATGTGAAAAACTCATCTCCGAAAATTGTAGGTAACTTAGTAGAGAAACTCCAAATATCTCATACAAATGGAATGGTTATCCAGAAATTTTTATCATTTCTCTTGTTTTAGAAATTTGTTGGCAGAAGTTGTTCCTTGGAACAGCCATTTTACAGATAAAATGTTGATTCCACTATTTTTTCCACTTCTCCAACCTCGTCAGCAGTCCTCAGTCCTGCATAAATTGGCTATTTTTATTTTCCTGTGAAAGAGAGGCTGCTTTGTAGTCTCTGGATAGGATTTTAGAATTTGCAGTTTGCCAGGGACGTATTAGTGTTATTTTTTTCCTGCAACAGATCCATTGGTGTCTCAAATTTTGGCATTCACCATCTTGAAGAACTGAAAAAGCACTCAACAGTGGTACCATCTGTAAACCAAATTGAAGTGCATCCATTTTTGCAAGAAAATGAGCTGGTAAATTACTGCAGAAAAGAAGGAATTGCAATTCAAGCGTACTCACCACTAACAAGAGGCGAAAAACTTGGCCATCCCACCTTGAAAGCTATTGGAGACAAGCACGAAAAAACTCCAGCACAAATCCTGTTGAGGTGGTGCATACAAAAAGGTTATATTTGCATCCCCAAGTCAAGTCAATTATCCAGAATAGAAGAAAATGCTAGCATTTTTGACTTTGAATTGACTGAGGATGACCTGAACATTCTGGATGGATTGGAAGAGGACTTTAGGACAGGGCGGCCTAAAATAAAGGAGCCGTGGAATGGGTAGTTGTACAGAGCTTTTTGAGAACTGTTTACTTGTTTGATCTACATGTATTCTGAGCAGTGTTCATATGGCATTAAAATAATCTTGGACTGGATATGGTCAATTATTCATTTCACTTTTTTACATGTGGGTGATATCATATTATAATAAATTATAGGTATTTGTCAAACAACTGAATTTAAGGCATTACAGCATAAGGGTTGGTGAATGGTACCTTGAAAAACGTGGGTCTCGGAAAATTTTGGCAGGATCTCGAAATCTCAGAAACGTTTTTGATAAGTCTTGAAACTTTTCACCAAAGAGTCTCGGGCTCGGATTTCTAACTAGGATCTCGGCGTCTCGGTGATTCTCGGATTTTACCATTTGCCACCCCTAGCATAGTACAGCATAATATATGGGTGCTTTTGCATGTGAGAAATGTGAAGATGTTTTGAGTGGGTGAGTGGTGCTCTCTCCTTATTTATTTGATATAAAAAATGAAAAAAGATAATAACAGTGCATGGTGCTATTCTAATGTACATGCTTAATGACCTGATGGTCTGGGTTTTGGTGACGGTACATGTTTTCAGTTGGAAGCCTGGTAGCTGAGTGGTTAACTCCATGACCTCAATTTCTGTTGGTCTAGGTTTAAGACTTACATTACTTTTTGTAGTCTCTCTTCACCCAGGTATAAAAATGGTACAGTACCCCCAGCCTATTTCTAGTCTGGGGGTCATCCTGCAGTGGACTGTCATCCCATCCAGGGGGGAGTAACAATACTTCTAGGTGCTTCATGTCACAGAAAGAAAGTTACCCTCTAGCCATATGGGCCTGTTTCCCAGGTAGCCCAAGCTTGAAATATAGAGAGAAAATTGCTTACACTAAAACTCACAAAATGGTCGTGATTCGGCTCGCACATCTCACAGGAAAGCAGTGACATACATTATTTTTTATTGAAGTACCTTAGTTTACAGAAAGAATCGATTTTTTCTCCATACAAATCCTTATATTTCGAATGGTTTGTGCATATTTCAAGCTTGGGCTACCTGTGCAGGTATGTGCCTATTGCCGTTTTTTTTTTTTTACAATTCCTACAGTTCTCTATACACTTGTCATGGTCGTAACAAGGCAACTGTGTTTAAAAATCAAAACGTTTTATCTGTGGTGAACATGTACTTTCTTCTCATGACTTTTATATTGAATTTGACTGTGACATGTTTAGGAGAAGTTAGAGTTTGGTAACAATGGGTTTGCAGACTACATTTTGTAAGAGGAACTTTAACATTCTTTACATACATACATACATACTTTATTGGCTCGTCCCCACGGGGCTTTTCAGAGTCAATTTTACATTACAAAATTATAAACCAAGTACATGACAATAAGAATATAACAATGATAAAAGAAGACAAAGGTC